CCTGAGAAAGTCTCTCTTTTTCTCCACACGCTCATTCCAATCCTACTGCTTCTCTCTCTCTCTCTCTCTCTACCATGTCGACCTTTTCACAAACCCCAAACCTCATTGGAGTACTCTCCGAATCACAACGCATAACCAGTGCCCACTCTCCCACTTCTTAGCTCTCTCTCTCCTCTTTCTCTTGCCCCTCGCTTCCTCTCGTGTCATCTACGGCATCGTGCAGTTCACCTTCTCCCAAAACAACGACGTCAACTACCAGTTCTTCCGCCTTTCCACCTCCACCCTCCATCATCTACTCCCTGAAACCCTGATTTTTCCTCTCCTCTTCACCTTCTTCGTCATCTTCTTCTCAGTCTGTGCCATAGCCACGATCACTTACAGCACCTTCCATGGATTCTACGGCAGACCCGTCAGATTCGTTCCCACCATCAGATCAATCTCCTCCTCATTCCTACCCCTTGCGTCCACAATGATGATCTCACAAGCAATTATAGCCCTGATATGTACCATTTTCGGCCTCGTCGTTGTTCTGCTGTATCAAGGGCTTCAGGTTTTGGGGGTTGAAATCGATTATAAGTCGAATTGTTTTATCTGGATTTGCATATTCGTTGCGATTCTACTTGGGTCGACCTTAATTTGGTTACAATTGAACTGGATATTGGCTAGTGTAATTGCGGTTGTGGAATCGAAATGGGGGATTGAGCCGTTACGGCGAAGTACTCAGCTGACGAAGGGAATGAGAGGGACTTCGTTGCAGATTGTGTTGAGCGGAGTTTTTATTTTGGCTATGATTTGGGAGATTTATTCGCCGGCGATGATGATGTATAGGAGTAGGGGGTTCTGGAGTTGGGGCTTCTTCATGTTGACGTTTTTGCCTAATTCGAGTATTGTGGTGCTTATGCTTTGGACTGTGGCGGAAAGTACAGTGATGTATATATATTGCAAGGCTTTGAATGGTGAATCGGCCATTGAAATGGCTAAGGAGTTCACTGGAGGGTACGTTAGCTTGCCTTTCAATGATGATGAGAAGGTCCATCAGGTTGTTCAAGTTCAAACTTGATATTGATAGACTTTGAGGTAAATCGGTTTGCCCTGTTTACTGCATTTGCTCTGCAGTTCTTCTGGCTATGTAATCTACTCTTTTTTCAGTCTTTTTTTGACTAGTGGATGGGAAAAAGCTTGTGGATAAAGAAAATGTTATGCTTATTAAAATGCTATTGGGACTTTCTTATTTCCATTCCACTTGGGCCCTTGTGTTCCTCTCCAGTCCAAATGATATAAATGGACCCGACCACTCATGTGGCCATCACTTGAGTGATCAACCAGGGTGTTTATGTCAATTCGGCCCAATTTCAATGAAGAATATATCCTTATTTTAATAAACATAATCAGATATGTGACCTCAATAAATTCTTCGTGGGCTAGTCTTCGTTGTTCAAATGATAACACAGACGGCTTCTAATCTCAGGCGTTTCGAGTTTGAATATTAGCAATTTCTTGAGTTAGGTCATGAATATCTTAATTTTGAAGTAGATAATCTTCCTTTGACTAAATCCGAAAACAGATTAGTTGAAATGGCCTTTAAACTATGATCATCACATCAATAGCAAATCCGAAAACATTCGTTAGATTTTTGAACGAAATATCTCATGCGCTCACTACATAGACAAGCAAATTAGAGATATTTTTGACTATTTGTTCAAAACCTATAAGACGAAAACCCATTCCTTATACCCATTAAACGAAGTAGATTAATAAGTTTTTCAAAGAGCTTACATTTATGTATATTGTTTCTTATACGAGATCGAATAACTTGCTGATATGTTTCGCTTAATGGACATGAAAGAGGTTTTAGTTTGGAGTTAGGTTTTTGGTTAATGAGTGTAAAAAATGTGATTTTTCGTCCGATAGATTTTAAACGAATAATTCAAAATACTTCTAATATGTTGTCCATAAGATGTTGTTCATAAGATGAGCACGTGAAATATATCGTTAAAAAATGTTGACAGAAGGACTTAATAGGTAAAATTTTAGAGTTTAGTGACTTAATTAATATAAAAATTGGTTCAAGAATTTAATTAACGTAATAGTTTTAGTGCTATTTGTGCAATTTACTGAAAAAAAGAAAAAGAAGAAGAAAAATGCTCTGCTTACCACCATTAACACGCCTGAGAAAGTATCAATCTCCATATATATATTTATGTCTCTCTCTCTCTCTTCCCCCATGCTCGTTCCAAACCTACTGCTCTCTCTCTATCTCTCTTTTCCATGTCGACCTTTTCACAAACCCCAAACCGTGGCGGAGTACTCTCCGAGTCAAAACGCATAACCAGTGCCCACTCTCCCCACTTCTTAGCTCTCTCTCTCCTCTTCCTCTTACCCCTCTCTTCCTCTCCCGTCATCTACGGCATCCTTCAGTTCACCTTCTCCCAAAACGACGACGTCAACGACCAGTTCTTCCGCTTTTCCACTTCCACCCTCAACCATCTCCTCCCTGAAACCCTGGTTTTTCCTCTCCTCTTCGCCTTATTTGTCATCTTCTTCTCAGTCTGTGCCATAGCCACGATCACTTACAGCACCTTCCATGGATTCTACGGCAGACCCGTCAGATTCATTCACGCCATCAGATCAATCTCCTCCTCATTCCTACCCCTTGCGTCCACAATAATGACCTCACAAGCAATTATAGCCCTGATATGTACCATTTGCGGCCTTTTCGTTGTGTTACTGTATCAAGGGCTTCAGGTTTTGGGGGTTGAAATCGATTATAAGTCGAATTGTTTTATCGGGTTTTGCATATTCGTTGTGATACTTCTTGGCTCGACCTTAATTTGGTTGCAATTGAACTGGGTGTTGACCAGTGTAATTGCGGTGGTGGAATCAAAATGGGGGATTGAGCCGTTACGGCGAAGTACCCAGTTGGTGAAGGGGATGAGAGGGACTTCGGTGCAGATTGTGTTGAGCGGAGTTTCTATTTTGTTCATGATTTTGGGGAATTATTTGCCGGCGATGATCACATATAGGAATAGTGGGTTGTGGAGTTGGGACTTCATGTTGACGTTGTTGCTTCAGTCGAGTTTTGTGGTTCTGTTTATGCTTTTGACTGTGGCGGAGAATACAGTGATGTATTTATATTGCAAGGCTTTGAATGGTGAATCGGCCATTGAAATGGCTAAGGAGTTTACTGGAGAGTAAGTTGGCTTGGGTTTTGATGATGATGAGAAGGTCCCTCTGGTTGTTCAAGTTCACTGCATTTGCTTTGCCCTGATCACTGGATTTATTATACTGATGATGGGAAGGTTTAGTCCGCTTGCCCTGATCACTGCGTGTGCTTTGCAGTTCTGCGGGCTACTCTATGTTCATGTAATCTACTCTTTTTATGTATACAAACATAATTTACTGTTGACAAGTTGAAGGGAAAAACTTGTGGATAAGTACATTATTATTATTATTAAATTATTATTATTATTATTATTATTATTATTTCGTTGGCGGTACCGTTAATTATTAATTTTTGGGGTTAAATTTCAATTTTGATATTGTTTAGGATTGATTGTAAATGTTTCAAGATCAATTTAAAACCAATTTTAAAATATTTAAAAATTATTTATTACCCGTGCAGTATATACCACAAAAAATGCTAATTAAATTCAATAATTTACCTTGAAGATTCACACAAATTTTTTGGAAGGAAATATTCAATACACACTTTTGTCGTCGAAGATATGTTTATCTAGAAGAGGGTGTGGATAATTTTTTTTTTAAATATATCATAGACAATTTAGTAAAATTTTATTTTAATTAATACTTTAATTTGATAGAGGTGTTAATGAAAAATCAAAACATAGAAGGGATATTTTTGAAAATATAATAAACAAAAAAAAATGTAACTGAAATTTTTCCTAAATCCTTCTAAACTAATCGTGAAAGTTTTTTTTAAAGAGAAGACTATCCTTTTGAATTTTGTATTTTTGGGATTCCGATCACTTCTCCGCCGGACTCGATCGATTCTTTCCGGTACAAGACTATCTCAGGCTAAAATTGATTTATGGAATATTTATTTTCTTCTCACTCGATTTCTTGAAGCTGTGATCAGATTGAAGGTCCAATGAAATTCTTTTGCTCATGTATTGTAGATAGTTACTGAGATTCTTCGTCAACTCTTTGTCTTGGGGAGGGTTTTTCTGATTTTCAACGCTTTTTTTTTTGGCTCCCAACTCACGCTGTCTAGTGATCTAAGTACAAACTCTTCGTTTTGAAACGGCCCTCTTTTGTTTGTTTAATACAAAATTCAAATTCAAATTCTGATCCTTCCAATTTTGACGATGACGTTCAATAATGACAATAAAAATTTACGTTATTGTCTAATTTTATGAATTTTAGATAGTAACGATAATAAAAATTCATTATATTTGAAATTATTACGGTTTCAATATCGTTGTTTTATGTTATTGATATTGTTTTGCTGATATTGTTATTATCTTGTTGTTATTGCCTATTTTATAATATACTTATTTATGATATTAAAGATACCTTGTACTGCGGCGATGATGATGGTGTGGTGGTGGAGATGTTTTTTAAATTCTGAAAAGATTGTTTCTAAAAATACACAAAACAGCTCTACTTTATTCTCTAAATCTACCCAATTTTTATTCTCAATTTTCAAAAAACAACAACTTGTTTTTTAAAAACTGTTTCCGAAAATAAAAAATAATTTCTGAGATACAAATTAAACATAACTTAAACTTTCTGAGTTGAGTTCAGGTTAACTCGTCCAAATTGTACCCCGTATATGATGCATTTGGTTTGACTTATAGTTTGAATCAATGCAGACATTAATTGTAGATTGAACTCCTGAAACAAGCTTATCAACATTGTCATTCAACGAAAAAAACCAGTAAAATCTGTGGAGTGGCATGTCAATGGTAAAGCCCTCCCTTTGTAGAATGGCAATACAGTGGTTCAACGCCCCCTCCCATTTATCAGCAAATTTCACTTGTTCAAAGCTTTCTACTTTTAGCTTGGCTAGATGAAGATGACACCTTCAGTCGAGAGACCTTTTCATCCTGGTCAGTGCTGAAGATGTTACTCCAGTTTGTCGACCTTTGAACACTCCGGGAAGGAACTTTGTCACTATCTTCCCCGCCAGACGCTTCATATCCATCGCTAGTTGACCTTGACAATTGGATACCCTTCTGAGCAGCCATGCCAGCTGCTGATAGCCCAGTGAGTCTCCTTCCCTCTTCAGCTCCTGACGAGGAGACCCGGAATGGGTCAAGATCAGGGGAGTCTAAACTGCTCTCTGGAGAAGAAGAGACAATACCACCTGATCTGAATGTAGCTCGGCTTGTTTGAAAAGCACTCCGTGCTTCAAGCTGAAGAGGTGGTAAACTCCTTGATGTCTCAGTAATCATATCATTTCCGCTATTTTCAGTATCTTCATTTGAAACTTTGGTCAGGGATCCAAGGGGTAGCTCTGCAGGGAGGCGAAACCTCTTACTAGATCGCCTTCTATTATTATCAGGCCTTGGGATCATTCGGTGTCCACTGCTGCTAAAGTCACCATCCATTTCGAGGCCATAAGGGGCTTCTCGTTTCACAACAGGTTGCAGTATTTTGGATCTTTTCCTTGCCTCTGCAGCAACTTTTGAAACGTCTTCTGTATTCATGCGTGCCAATGCCCATGGACTGATTTTAACAGATGTGGGGGGGTTCTTTTTCTTGATAGTATCCTCTGCTACTGTCCTTTTTCCAAGTGAACTTACAGATCCAGTCTCTGGAGGGACTACATCAAACTGCAACGAAACAAGATATTGAAGCACCATTAACAAACAAGACCAGAAAGTTTATTGTTTCAAAAGTTGGACCTAGAGTTGGATTGTTCAAGTTCATCGAGAATTTGTGTTTCAACAACCACTTCGACTAGTTGTCTCCAGCCAATATGCTGCATACAGTTTATGTGTGATATACATTGTCATCAATGCACCAGAAAATTGAGGTGTTTCCAGAGGAAACTCAATGCTCTGCTTTGTTGGCAAGATGTATTACTTCGTGAAATGATTACA